GGAGTTGTGGATAGTATTCAGCATAGCCAAGCAACAGTATCTGCAGTTATTCCTTTTCTATTTACCTTTTGAGCTATAGAACTTTAAGGTTCCAAGAAAAGGTCAAGTTATTTATGAATGGAGATATAGTATTCTAAGAAGTCTCTTTTTTGTCAGTAAATGATTAATTTATTAATTCAACAAATATTTCATTTTTATTACCTAATATGGGCCAGATACTGTTCTAAGTATTGGGGATAACAACACTGAACAAAAAGATAAAGTTGTTGCTCTCATGGAGCTTACATAGTGCTTAGAAGGCTAAAACACAAATAAATATAAGTATATATTATAAATATTCATATATATATACACACATACATATATACATATATTCAGATATATGTACATATCTATAAAGAAAAGTAAAGTAGGGTAAGGAGAATAGTGATGATAGGTAATATTCTATACTGGTGCATGAAATTCGTGCACTCGGTGTCTGTGGGGGGGGGGGGGGGGGGGCTCTTGCAGTCCGGAAGCCCTTGGGGGATGTCCAACTGCCGTGGAGGTGGCCGGAGAGGCTCCCGCCACCGCCGCTGCACTCGCCAGCCGTGAGCCCAGCTTCTGGCTGAGCTGCACTCCCCCTGTGGGAGCACACTGACCACCAGGGGGCAGCTCCTGCATTGAGCATCTGCCCCCTGGTAGTCAGTGTACGTCATAGCGAGTGGTTGAGCAACCTTAGCTTATCATTAGCATATTACACTTTGATTGGTTGAATGGCCAACTGGATGACCGGACACTTAGTATATTAGGCTTTTATTATATAGGATAGGATGTTTAACAAAGACCCTCTGATGAGGTGATATTTTAGCAAAGACCTGAAAGAAATGAAGAATCGATGGAGTCATATCTGGGGAAGAAAGGTCCAAGTTAAAAAACAACAACAACAGCAAATACAAAGACCCTGAAAAGAGATGCATTTGGCATGCTCTAGGACAAACAAGAAACCAATATAGATAGAGCACAGAGAACAAGGGGGGAAATGATAGGTGAGCACCATTGGGGCCATAATATGTTGGGCTTTGTAAGCCTTAGCAAAGCTTTTACTCTTAGTGAAATGGAAAGTCATTGGAGGGTGTGAGCAGAGATTAGCACAATCTAATTTATAATTTTTTTTATTAAATCTTTATTGTTCAGATTACATTTGTTCCTCTTTTTTTTCCCCCCCATAACTCCCCT